TCCGCCACCTCCGTCGCCCTCTTCATCCTCTTCGGCGCGCGCCTCCTCGCACTCGAAGTTGACCGGCTAGTCCCCTCGAAATCGACGACGAAGACCACCACCTATCGCCTGCAACAGGCCAGGCGGGCATCTCTCCGCTAACCGCGCCCCGCCGCCATTGCGGGCGCAGCGCTCGCGGCCGGAAGCTCTTGGTCGCGCGGATGCACGAAGAAAACAAGCACCCCATCGCGTGCCTATCGACCAAAACCTTGATGGCGAAGCGTAGGCGTAGTAGCCCAGCGCTCAGGCGCGCTCTGGCCTTCTTTAAGCCCACCCTCCACCCTAGAATAGTTCCACCCCATCACCGGGGCGGAGCACCCACTGTCGGATCTGGATCTCGAGCACGAATACCTGCAAGACAACCAGCCCGCTCACGCGCGCGGACGAAACTCCAGCCCAACTTCACATCGCACGTCACTCCGCCCCCCTCGCCCGCCCTCTCGAGCTCGTCAGTGACCCTCGCCATGGGATACATCTCCGAGACCTTGATGTCCTGCATCTTGCCGCTCCCCATCAGCAGCCGGCGCGGCACGTCATTCTTCTCCTCATCCAAGAAGGCGAAATGGCCCTCGACCTCCCAGTTCAGCAGGACCACCTGGTCCTCTAGATCGCTCGGCACCTCCTCGAACTGCCCCCCGAACTGCCCGCCCGCCAGCTTCTACCACCTGCCGCCCACCACGAATCATCGGTCAGACAGCATATTCCTCGCCGTTTTGACTAGCGGGTCGCTGTTCATCCAGAAGACGCCGCCCCCGCTCCAGCCCTGCTTGTCGCCAATGCCCAGCTGGTCCCACCTGGTCAGCCCCCCCGGGCTGATCTCCCCCATGTCTTTCAGCTGTGCTCCCCGGAACACCATCCGCAGTCCTCGTACTCCATCCGATCCGCGCCACACTTGCGGCCCCGCTTCCTGTCTGGCACGGGCGCGCCCTCTGGCACCAGTACTTCCGCTCCTCATTGGCTCGAGCTCGCCTGCGCCGATAAGCGCGCGGGCGAAGACGTCGGCCTCGCTGCCCTCCGCGCAGGCCCCTGGCGCAGCTTGCCGAACAACTCCACCGGCCCCCCCCCCCACCCCCCCACCCCCTCAGTCGGGGCAGGGCCCTGGCCTTGTCCTTGGACAGCAGCGCACGCGCCTGGAGGCCCCTCCCCCAGTGCTCTCCGCACCGAGTGCATGTCATGGCAGTCTTCGCCCCGCCCGCGACCTTGAACTTCTCGACGGGGCGCGCACGCCCGCCCACCTCGACCTCGAACTGGCCCGCCGCCCACTTCTGCAAGAAATTCAGCAGCCACTCCCAGCGGAGCTGGCCCGGCGGAAGTAGCCCCAATTGCCTCTCGCCCTCCGGGCCCAACATGCCGCTCTGGATCGCCCCCTTCTCGCTGCTCGCCGTCGCCCCCGCGCACTTGCAGAACGCCGCCTTCCACTCCGGAAGGTGCGCCGCCCCCTGGATGGCCCCTGCCGGCTCTGCAGTCGATGAACCCCCAGCTGCGGCGTCGTCGGAACACCCCTCGGGGACCAGGGCGCAATCTCGAAGCCCCCCTCGCCGCTGCCCCAGCCGACGCGCGCCCCTGGGCGCGGCGGGCAGAAGAGCCCCACAACCCACAAGCGGCCGCATAAACGCCAAGAGCGCGAGACTGAAGACCACGCGCACCCACGCCTGCCTCGCCGGAGCCCGGAAGCGATTCCTGCACTTCGCGCAAATATGGAATTACTGGATACACAGCCTGAAGAAGCTGCGATCCAATCACCCTGACTCACACGGCTACCGATCCGGAACTCTGCACCCTGGCGCCCCGGGGCCCCTCGATGCAGCCTCCAGCCTTCAGACGGAACTCCACGACCGAAACAGCGACGTGCCCTGCATCTAACTCTCTCATGGGAACATAAGAGTCGGCCCTTCTCAAGATGAGTTTCACGCTATCGCGGCCTTGCCTTGAACTGCCGGAGAATCTCGATGGGCAACAGCACCGGGGCATTGCCCTTCACCCAGGTAAGCCTCAAAAGGCAAAGAGAACCTCCGATCGCGAGCAGGGTGGCCACAACTTCTACTGCTTTAGCTCGACTACCTTCTCCTTGGGCTCGGGCTGGCTCGTTGATCCACTTGACTTTCAATCCACGGGTCCGCAAGGCTTCGCTGAATTGTCCTGGAGACCCCGTACCTAGAAGGCCTGACTGGGCCGCGGTATCCAATGATTGGCGCCTTGCGGCCCCAGGAATAATTAAGCCCGCACCACGCATCTGACCACCCCATCGCCACCTCGAGCTCTCTCAGGTCCTCGATCGATCTCATGTAATTCAAAAAGACGATACAACCTTCGAAGACATCCTAGGCTGCCACGGCTTCCAGCTCCTTCCTGAAAAACTTCAGAGACTTGCACTGGTCAAAGAAGCGTTCCCAGAAGATCTCGAGGATGATGAGCACGACGCTGCACTCTGGAAGCTGGAAGGGCCCGCTGGTGACTACGATGATGCTTGCATTTCGACTCGCACTCCAAATACTCGCCCTCCGACTCGTAACTTCCTGCCTCATAACGCGCCGACGCGCCAACGAAGAAGCCGGACTCCGTCTTGACGTTGCCCGCTGCTGCCGTTGCCGCTGCAACTCCACGGTTGCCAGGCGGGTTGCTGCACAACCCAGCCTAATGGCTCACTTGCCCACCGCGAGCACACTTCGTCCGCAGCTTGACCACGTCAATGCGCACCCTCACCTTTCGGCCCTGGCCGTCCTTGTAGCGGGTGCAGGCACCGAAACGCACCACTGGAAGCGAAGGCATCCCGCCCTTGTCCCCGTTGCCGCGCTTGCCTCCGCCCTCGTGGAAGCGGCGCTTGTTCTTCTCCTGCCTGACCTACTCGCAAACCACCTGATAGTACGGCAGCGCTGTCGCGACGTCGGCCTCTTCGTGTACTTTCGACAGATCGTCCTCCATGACGTAGATGTAATCGGAATCGTCCTCATTCTCAATGTCGTCTTCGACCGGGGAGTTGGCGCTATCCTGGCCAGGTTGCTCTTCGTCGTCGCCGTAGAACTTGTCGATGGCGGTGTGCTTGTCGGCGGTGACCGTGTCCAACCGGCAAAGAAGCCTTGATCACCTCAACCTCGGAGAAACTCCCAGTTATCCACGTCTTGATCATGTCCTCGCCCTTGTCGCCCAGTTTAGCGTGCCTCATCATGATGCAACCCTGGACCTCCGACGGCAGCTGAACCCCATATCGCGCTTCAGTTCGTTGAACCTCGTGGCCGCCGCAAGCGCGC